TAAGCTGCAAAAACGCAAACTACGAGGACAAGAGTTATTACATCTGATGTTTGAGAGGGTGGAAAAAGTCAAAAGCCATTGCCACATCAAGCAAGATTAAAAGAAAAAGTCTTCCGAACTACCGGCATTGAAAATCTAGAACATTTAATCTGTTTCAGATGTGGGTAACCTTTGAATAGATTGAATAAATAGGAGATATTTGATAGATTAGTACCATTCCATCAATGCTTCACGTTACAGTCTTGACTGTCATTTAATATTTTTTGCTGTCACTAAAATTGGAATTCCAGTTTCATTATCCATGGTCAGGCACATTTACCATTATTTTCGTTCTTATCAGTCAAATTTGAAAAAGGATTTCTCTGAAATTTCTTTGGTTTGCCTGAAGGAATTTCTTCTTGTGTCTGACTTGGTTTCTGTTTTATTCCCATGCTGCTTTTCCACCGGTGTCATGAGCTGGGCATTGTCTAGAGTTTTGGCTTTGTGTCTTAGTTCTTTGGTTTCCTGTGTTTTCTCTCAGTAGAATTACGGTAACGCTCTTGGTCCTCGTTTTATTTTGATGTCTGTCTTGGTTTCTGGTGTTGATACATTTCCTGGTTTATTTTTGCGTCTTCCTTGGTTTCCTGTGTTTTTCCCTAGTGTGGGAGATTGCTTAGCTTCCCTCAATTCCCTGCACCTGCGTGTCTGTTACCTGTTGTCATTCCACTAATTGCTCTAGAAAAAGCTTCTCAATTATTTCATCCAGTGCCATAGATTGCTCATATTTGTGTTTGGTCCTGTGGCTTCTTTGGTTCTTTGTTCACTTTTGTTTCACTATTTTTTTTAGTTTTCCCTAGTTTATTTCCATTTTCATATCCAGCTTTTGCTGCGTCCTGTGTTGTCTTTTAAAAATACATTATTTTCCCTATTTCCCATTATTTATTTACACCGACAGACTCTGACAATTGGTGCCTATTAGGCCCTGAACGGTTCGTCCCAGCACAGCTCTGAATGTTTTAGTTGGTTTCCATTCTAAATCATGGCTGAGCCGAAAGCATCATTTCTGCACGACTCAAGCGCGAAACGATAAAGTGGGATATCACGACGCCTGAACTTCAGAGCTGGTTCGTGTATTCTGTATTTACAACATTTATGGTCACAGAAATAACAATTTCTGACATCTTTTGTTGCTGCCCATTCAAAATAGGTGGGGCTTATATGACCAAGGCGATATCTAATCATGTGACTCCCTGGCCAATCACTGGCCGGTAGCCAGCCGTAGGCCCTCCTCATCCCCGATGGAACCCTGGCCGAGTAGGTGCTGAAGTTTAAACTGTTTATTTTGGCCTGGAACTGTAAAAATACTAGTAGAAACTAATGAAAAAAGGGCCATAAGTGAGCATCACAGAGTAGGTTCATAAACATGTCTTGTGTC